ACACTTTTATTACTTGAGCCTCAGTGAGTGTGTCGGGCAATGATACTCAGCACTCCTGTTATTTACCACAGACGATTGTGGTCCATGCTCTCACTTTCTCACTGTTGACAACACTGTTACTCTTATCGCTGTTATCTTAAATATATTCAGCAGTGCTGTGTCTTTATCACCAAGTGGAACACAAAGCTCTGAAGTAGCTGCAACAGTGAGCTTAGATTGAGCCCCACTCAGCACCATAATTTTAAAATGTAGCACTAGCAGTGAGTCAGACTTTGTCATCAGGCCCCACTGATGTTTGTAGTCCAGAGCAATAATTGGATTTTTTCGCACACTTCTGTTCAGGCTCCAGACGTATTTCCTTCCTGGACGCTTCTGGCAGCTGCTGCTTATCCTGCCCCGATTACAACATAATTATCTGTTCCATGTCGTCACCCTCCACTTTTCTTTTCTTTTCAAAGAACTTTATGGACCAACTTTCTCTTAGAAACATACACACAACTGGGACAAATCTAACTACCATTTCTGATTACTTACTTATTAATTATCATACTGTTACTTCTGTTATTGATTGCTTATTCTTCTAGAAAAATGTAAAACAACAGCACATCTTAAACTTCCAAGTCAATAAAGATAAATTTGCTTTGCTTTCTGCTTTTTTCCCCAAGCAGAAAAAACAAGTATGTTCTTACAAATGTATAAACATGATGGAGTTTTGATTATAATATGGGCTAGTTTTGTTCACAAGTGTAGGTAAAAGAACTTCAACAAGCTGAACTTGGGGTTTTAAAGTGAGAACACTTTTCTGAATTGTGTGTGGCTGCGATCTACCAGCTACCAGAAGCAAAATAAATATTTATTCAGGAATACAAATGTTTTGACGTGACATAAATGTTGGCTGCACTCATTCAGTGAGGATTCGCTTCCTTCCTGATTCCTGCTTCCTGATTGTTGTTCCTTAGTTAAGTTTTCACTCTGAAAACCATCAAACACTTTAGATTCACACGTGTTTGTTTGTTTGTTGCAGGAGTTTTGCTCTGAATCCTGACCTCCTCTTTGTGCTTCTGTGGCTTATGGGGCCATAAATTGGTCACCATGGCGACCAGCAGGATTATTGAAAGTCCCCCGTCTGACTTTCTGAGGTCAGCCGTCACTGTAATATATATCTGTAATATATATCGATGAATGGTGATTAAATTAAACAAATAAAAATGCCCTTTTTTCTTTCTTTCTTTTTTCCAGTGTTCACCATCACTCTGCTCTGCAGCTGGTCTCCTTTTCCACAGTGCAGCGACACAGTGTTGAAGAGGTGAGTGTGTTAAAGGAAATGTTAATGTCAGGTTTAGTCTGTATGCACTCAGAGGTCATTTGCTGCTGCTGCTGCTGTAATGATGTAAACCCTGATTGGTTGGATAGTTTGAGTGACCACATTTACTGAGGCAAAGTAGAACAGCTGCTGATCCTGAGCTACTCTTACAAATGAAAGATCAGTGAAGAGCTTCCCTCACACAGCATATCCTCTATTGGACCTGACTGAACATCCAGAGCCTGATGTTCACTACAGTCATGGGCAGAAGAAGCACCGGTGTCAACAATGAATCACAAAGCTGGTTTTTTTGCATATTTACATGGTGATAAAAAGTCTGTAAAGTGGTGATCTGTGTTGGGGTCCTTAATGCTGACTGAAAATAGTTTCTGACTTCTTAATGAAAAGTACCTTAAATACTCCTTTTTTTTTTTTTAAATGAACAGAAAATGTGCTTTTAAATATATGACAGGGAGGGTTTTATGGAAATAAAGTAGATGTATTATTTAGCTGTATCTGAAAATCCTTATCAGGTGATTAATTGAATTCACCCTGTTTTGGTGAACTTTGTGTAGATTCACACTTTTATTTAAAGCCAATAAATGTCTTGCCTTTTAATTTGACTTTATCTGCCTCTGTGTCCTGCATTTGGTTGCGCTGTCATGAAGGCGGTGGTCATTTTACAACATGAGCATTATTTTGTCTTTCCTGAAGGAATATTCAGGAAATGAGGATTAAAACGAGCGTGTCCGTTCATTTCCTTTTGATTCATGAACAGCCTGGATCAGGTCCAGACACTTTCTCCCAGTGTGTAACAGCCTCGGTGTTTCCTGAACCATTTGCCTCCAATAACCTTTGTCTTTGCTGGGCTACACTCGGAAACTCTCCACAGAGGCATTCAAAGGGAAAAAGAATCATTCTTGTGTGTGTCCCTAATTTCTACAGTTTAGACAATTTAATCAGTTTGTCAGCAAATAAAACCTCTTATATCCATCAGAGATGCTGGCTGTAACCTCATGTTTGAGATCGTTTCTCCTCCTGATTTATAGCTGTTAAATTACTGCCTGTTCGTAGCTTGAACGAGGACCTCTCCGTCTCACAGCACCACATCGCTGCCCAAGGAGGCTCAAACTCGCTTCTACTTCCTCTGGAAATTAAGGCTACTATTAGTCCCACCTGCCATAATGTGCTGCTTGTACTGGGCATTTTTATATATAAATGAATGAGATTCACAGCTTTAGCAAGGACAATCTTACCAAGAAAACATACTACATAAAGAAAATGCAAACTTTACATGTGCCTGTCCATATTTGATTCTTTAAAATATTTTCCCTTTAAGTCTAAATGTTTCAGAACAGATTCCTCATCTGCAGAGGTTCATGAGAGACAATCTGAGGGACTTCCTCCTTCGTCAAGTCGAACACAGCCACCGAGCTGCTGGCTACCTCTTGCTTTTCTATGTGCTTTGGCAGTAGTCTTTTATGCATCCCGGATACTCCTGCATGACTTCAAACAAACTGTTTGTTTGTTTTATTTTAATTAGTTTAGCTTCTCGTTAGCTTTGGTAACATGCTAACAAACCTGGCAACCTGGCAAACCTGGCAGGCATTACAGGAAGAACTGGTCATGTGACCCTCAATGCATCAGTCAAATTATCATTGCAGTGCTACAACCTTGTGTGCATGAATAAATGTAACTACTGCAATGTTTTTGGTGCTTCTATGACAGATGTGTTAGCAATAACTGCAGGTGCCTAACACAATGCTCATCAAGCACACACATTTTAAACTAATAAGGTGAAGCAAAATTCTTAAGAATCAAACCGCACATACAGATAAAGCCATAATACAGCTGCCGTCACTTCACTGACACAACCAAAGCACCCATAATCTTATCCCTTTCATAAGACTGTTTCTCAGGATTTACATTCATATCTCGGGTTTTACAGACAGTAATCTGTGCTCTGTGTTTATGTCGAATGACAGTTATCCACATTACAGATGTTTTTATATTGTGTTATATGGATCTTTTCTATTTTATTATCATCTTTTTATGTGAAAATGTAGATAGTGAGCATGAGAGAGATTTAGTTTTATTTTTTTGAGATGAAATAATTTAGTCAGTTTTTAACTGTTAGTGTTCGTTTGACTTTGGGACCTGAAGGGGATGGAGTTTTGGACCCAG